CCCCGGGCCTGCCGTGACCTTGGTCCAGTTCTATTTGTCCTCCCCTCTCTTGGGGCAGGGAGTTTTTGTTTGTTTGTTTTGGGGTTTTTGGTGTCTTGCTTTCTTTCTCCTCCATATGTCTTGGCAGGATCTCACTTCTGTGGCCCTCTGCCAAAGGGAATGTTCTGGAGTTGCCAGGAAAGGAGGAGACTCGGGCTGGCTAATCCCAGACGACGGTGCTCAGTGCTCAGTCCTCCCTGCCCCGCCCTCTCCCCTTCACCGCACAGTGTTCAGGAGCTGAGAGGCTGCCGCACCCGCACTGTTTCCCCACCTCCAGGGCCACCACTAGCCTCTGCCGCTTGCGTCACCTCCGTCACCGCCTGGTCCTGTGTGAAGAGCAGACACTTAGCAGTGGAGCCGGGCCTGGGGGGGTCGGCTGGGAGGGCAGGCTCCCCAGGTTTTGGCTCCCAGCCGGTTTCCGTCCCAGGCACCTGGCTGCACTGGGCCCAGTGAACGCCTGGTGGCGGGAAGCCACCCTGCTTTAGATCAAGTCACTCGGGTCCCCACCTTAGAAGGGTCCCCGCCTTAGATCAATCACGTGGACACTAAGGCACGTTTTAGCGTCTTGTCTTAACGATCATGTCCGTCCGTCCGTCCATCTGTGTTTTCTGCGTCGCGTCATTGGCTGTCGTCCTCAGAAATGATGCACACTAGCCTCAGCGACCATGAAGCGTCCGTTAACATGGGTCTGACTTGTAGACTCAGTTCAAATATCAAATAAACCTGTAACAGAAAGGCGCCTCGGGGTCTCCGTGTCTTGGGACGCTCCCCCACCTCCCTGAAGCCTGCTGGGCCCTGTCAGCTGGTGTGTTGAGTGACCATTTCTCAGGCACTGTCATGGTTTGTTATTGTATTGCTACCAGAAATACCTGAATTTAAGAGAACAAAGGTTTAGGGCCAGTCAGTGGCACGGTAGGTAAAGGCACTGAATCCCATATGGCTGACTCCTTGGTTCGAATCCTGGACCTAGCAGCTTGAAAAACACGCTGAGCAGGTGTGCTTGCGTGCCCAAGATCCTGAGAGGAGAACGGAGGAGAAGGGATTGTGGCGTGGCCATCCCTGAGGGGGTGATTTCTCATTTTCTCTCTCTTTTTCTCTCTCTCATGAGCACATGCACCCTATGACAAAAAATTTTTTAAAAAGAGACAGAGACCAGTGGGTGGCATAATGGACTTCCACGTAGTTGATCATGGTTCAAGTCTTGGTCCCAGTGGCTTAAAACTCATGCTGGGTGCATGTGCGTACATGCCCAAAATCCTGAGAGGAGAATGGAGGAGAAGGGATTGCAGCGTGGCCATCCTCCATGGGGAGTGATTTCTCACTTTCTGTCTCTGTCTCTGGCGAATGTATGCACCCTATAGCAAAAGTCTCTCTTAAAAAAAGAGAGATTAGAGGTTTGTCTTGACACGATTCAGATGGCTGTGCAGTCCGAATGCAGAAGCCCGGTGTGCGGCCCAGGGAGGGCAGGACCCTGAGCAGAGCACTATCCACCCACCCGTCCCATTTCCTCTGCCCGACCCTCACCAGAACCCAATTGTAGGAGCCCTGCCCCGGTGACCTCATCACCCCAAAGGCCTCACTCAGGACACCATGCAGGGATTAGGTTTTCACTTAACCCCTTTATAATGCAACCAAGTCCCATCTTGTGCATTTCTGGGGACACACCTGCACCCAGGCCGTGACTGGCACCTGCAGGCTCATTCCCTGTGCTCTCTCTACCCTGAAGCCCTAGCTACTGGGAGGCAGTTACCAGAGATCGTGACCTGGACAGAGCACCACAGGGTGTCGCTAGGGTCCAGCACATTCTCCTGGTCCTGGTTGCCATCACAGGTCTTGATGGGTGGGGGCCAGGAGCATAGGGCACTGTCCCAGCTCAGGCACCCCGAGCATGGAGTGGAGCCTCCGTACCCCGTCTGTACAGGGCACACTCTGTGCCCTCCAAGGTCCCTCGCAAGCCAACAGCAAGTCCTCAGATTCTGCAGAGGTAGGGTTGAGTGAGGAGGCCTGGCTCAGCTCCTGGCCCTTTGCGGGGCCTGCCGGAGGTTCTGGGGTTGAGGTCCGAGGCTGGGTAGGCAGAGCTGCCTGAAGACCCCTGCTCTGGTGTGTATTTGTGAGGGACTTCAGTTTCCTCATATGTCAAACTGGGGTGGTAGAGGCAAGCTTGCAGGGCGTTCTGAGGAGCACAGATGTACAGGTCACTGGGTTTTGGTGGAGGGCCTGGCTTCTGGCGTCCTCCCGGACTGAGGGGCCTTGTATTAAAGGCTGTCGTGGCTGACTGGCTGTGGTGCAGCCTCATTCGCTGTTTGGGCACCTCCTCTGGATCAGTCTCCTGTCCTTCCTCCAGGAGACTCTGACCCTCAGGTGACCTCAGGCTAGAGCCAAACTCCTCCTCCGGTCCCTGTCATGAGCTGACTGGGGGGGCTGAGAGCTGGCTGTGCCCCCCCTAAGACCCTCTCTCCTGTCTCTCTCTCTCTCTCTCTCGTACCTCCACGCTGGAGGGCTTCCCTCTGTCCCCTCCCCTGGTCCCCTCCCCCACTGCCCAAGCCAGCTCCTGCTGCCCAGTGCCTGGAGCAGGACTTTGGTCTGGAGCTGGTTAGCGTTTGGAAAAAACAGCAGTGTGGGAAGGCTGCCCACCCGCTTCCGGAGCCCAGAGGATGGACAAGCAGTGGGAGGCTGGGCTTCCAGGACCCCCTCAACCCACCCGCTGCGCTTTGCTCTGCTGGAGACGGTGGTGGTCTTTTCTCTGATTACAGCAGCAAACTGGAAAATTTGACAAGCTCAAAAATGTTTCTGAAGAAGCATGTTCCACCCAGAATGGGCCCTGCTAATGTTTGAGCAGCCACAGAGGGTGGCCCTCACCATGTGCCAGGCCCCGTGCCAAACTCTTTATCAGACAAACACAGTCTCTGTACTTGCTGCTCACAGGGGTCCTGTTTCCCAAGTTACAGAGGGGGACAGTAAGGCCCGATGTCTGGGGCCGCCCCAGCCTGCCTCACGGGGCCTCCATGGTGAGCATTTCGTGCGTTCTCAGAGGAGCTGCTGGTTCAGCACGAG